GGCTGGTTAAATGATACTACCATACACATCCACCCTTTCACAGTGAATTTTCAAAGATCCTTTATGAATAAATCTCTACAAATAGTTATTTCTCCCAAACATTGAATTCTAACACATAGAAAATTGCTATCATTTTATAAAATGGGAAATGATGCAGTTCAGATGTGAAATAAATCATCGCCAACATCAAACTTGATATATTTCTTAGCTTACTGTTCTTTTGGGGGTCAAGCGAGTTGTTTAATATCATTGAAACATTTCAGGGAATAGGCAGTATTCTTTTAGATTTGCAGATAAGCATTTGAAATTGCTTCAGGTAAGAGGATCAAAGTGAAATAGAGCAGAGAGATAATGATACAATAGATGTGATTAGGTGATATGATAGAAGAAAGAAAAAGGAACCAGCCAGGGAATTGAAGAAAATGAACACAGACTTATAGAAACATCCTACAGAGGATGCAGAAAAAGTGAAAAGATTTGATAGCAAGCTACAAAAAGTACTATAGCGAATGAAAATACAGAATATATGTTCTGACCAAAAGGAAGGGGACCAATAATTGATTTTTAGGTAGACAAAGGAGACATCAGAAAGTGACACAGGGTAGTCCCAGCAGGTGAAAATCATAGGAAATGATGAAAGAGCAGGTCATGTGTGCTTGTAAATTTGACCATCAGTATAACAGGTAACCTCCTGTATGCGTTAAATATCAAATTCAAAGTTCAGTACCTTTGCTTTATCTCTCATTGATCCTTTTCCCAGGATAGACATTTTAGCACCTGTTTCTTCCTGTAGCCTCTTCAAGGAGTTTCCTCTTGGTCCAAGCAATTTCCCCACAAAATTGAACTAGGAAACAAAATCAATAGAATTTCTGTTTTAAGGTCAAGTAAAGGGATGATTTGCACCAAGAATAATTGAGGAGTTATGGGTTTTCAAAACTTAACAATGAAAAAAAAAGTAAGGCAAAAAAGGAAAAAAAAAACACCCCCACACACAAAACTATTCCAGACCTCCAATCTATGACCCATTTTTAAAAGGGGTACTTCTTTCTAAACGAATGCCAAAGTCAATACTATGTTGATTTATCATTTACTTATAATAATCAAATAAATCACTTACTAAGGAAAGAAATTAGGGAGAATCACACTGGT